TTCATTTCCTCATATTCCAAACGAGAAATTACGGTAGCAAATCACCCGGTTCTTTACGACCAGAACTATTTACCGGGATACAAACCGGAGGAACCAGGCATGGAGGGAGGTGGCAGAGACAGTGGGTGAAACTGGTAGGTTTTCGCCTGTTTGGGGAGTTTATATCCAGTTTACTTCGTTTTAACATTGCTATTGCTTTGTATGTCGGGGCGGGAGGTTCATGTGATTGGTTGTTGGTCGCAAAAAATCCCCAAGCTTTCAGACAAACCCACCTCCAAGATTTTCAAGATTTTTTCAAAGCTGCTGTGTGGACGGGGCGTTAGAGAAGCATCAATGGGCCAGCGGAGGAAACCCAGTCTTATGTATCCGTTTGTTACGGGTCATATTTAAACACTTGACCCACACACGGACAAAGACAGTAACTTCTCAGCCAGGCACAAACAGCATCATACTGTCGGTGCTGAAGTTCTTCAGTGTGAGGTAAGAAAACATAAAGCTTGCCATTTGTAACACCTGCAAGAGCAAAATAGAGGACCAACTTTAAACATGTGTACATTATTTTGAATACCTTTGGTGCCAATTAATGTTCTTATAAAAGAAACAAATACAATTGGAATTTGCAGACAATCGGAGTACCTCTATTATGACTTTTCAATGAGATGTCTAATGTTGCTTTCAATCTTGGGTAGATGCCAACTTCAGAACTTGTGCTGCTTTTCCTAACAGTGCCTTATGCAGGTTTTTACGTGTACGTCACGCCCTGTTTTCTGGAGGCTGTCTTACATCAGTAGCAGCAGTAAGGGTCTTGGAGAGGATCACTCTGGCCAGACCGTCCCTGCTGTAGTCCAGTGTGGATATAGCCAGTTTCAGCACAGCATCCTGGTTCTTCACAGAGCACAGATTCAGCAGGCTGCAAAATAAAATAAAAAGAAGATGTTTGGTCAAATGTTTCAATGCATCAATAGGACATCTCTGTAAGTCTTCCATTCTATGTCCATGCACTCACCACTGAAACAGGCCACATTTCTCCAGCAGTTTGACTCCCTGTGGGTGAGCAGAGAGTGTCCCCAGGAAGAGGAAGTAGTGTTGGCTGAGTGTGGTGAGCAGGCCGTTACTCTGCAGACAGCGCTCGGGCTTCAGCCCTGAGGACGAGGACAGCCATGACACCATGTCCTTCACCAGGTCCTCCAGGTACCCCTGGCCGTCCTGTTGACGGGGAGAGAAGAGAAAAGACCGAAACGCAAGGCAGGTAAGATAATGATAAAAAGGTACAAAAGCAAAGTGAGTTTTTGTTGTGTAAATGCACACTTCTCTGACCTCGTCCGATTCCATGAGGAACTCGATAAACTGACAGCCAACCACAGTGAGTTGTCTGGCTTTTGGGTGATCCAACGCCAGCCCTGCGTACAATTTACTACTGGGCTTATAAAAGTACAGCAGCCTCCGCACAAACCTGCATCACAGAGAAAAAGGATGTCAATACAATTAACCGTTTCAAATGCTGCCCTGGGTTTTGATGATACGAAGCCGTCTTACCTGTGCATTTGTTCATCTTTGTTATTCCTGAGGTTTACATGTGGCCACTGAGGGAGAAAACAACAACATTAAAACATCAGACAGGAAGTAGAACTGGCATAAAGGTCAGTGGGGCTTCATGAGAGTAGCCCGACCTTCAGGATGGTGGCGATCAGCAACCAGTTCCACTCCAGGTTCTGCTTGTGGTTCAGAATGTGACTGTCTCTCAGGTTCAACATCAGTGCTTCTTCTGTGTCCTGAGCACAAACACAGAAAAAAAGAAATATTAAAAAAAAAGTAATTTTGTTGTTTTTTCAATGCGCTCTGAGAGCTCGTTTTGATGTTAAATTACAGACTCAAATCAATAAACAATAAACAAAATATATATTAGCATCAAGAGGTTTATGTTTTAAGTGGAATTACCTCAAAGAGCTGCAATCCATTCAATCAATGCTTTTTACAGAGATACATTAGGAAACCATGAATGAAGCCAGCATTTACTGCAAGTGTTTTTCCAGTTACAAGGTTGTTTTCCTGTGCGTTTCCACTTTTAAAGCCTTTGTGCTAAGCTAAACTAAACACACACCAGTCTTTGCATTGAACGCACAAAGAAAGTTTTTTTTTTTTTTTTTTTTAACAGAACAAAAAAAAGGACGACAGGTCAAAAAAAAAAAACAACAACTAAATCAAGATCTAAAGGCTCTGGGTCTAAGTCCGTTACAAAGAAGAAAGTTTGATATTAATTGAGTGGGGTATAATGGAAAAGAGCATATTTTCCAAATAGATGTAGTTCTTAAATAAATATGTTGCTGAGGCACAGTAGGTAGAAAGCATGTGGATATTTACCTTTATAGCGTAGATGTCTCTGTGGACACGCGAGTGCGTCTCTCTGCGGTTATGAGAAGACACAGACTTGCGGATGATGTGATCCAGGTAAAGACTGTGTGGTTTCAGACCTTTCTTCTTCTTTTCATGGAAGCGCTTGAGATTGTTGACTGCTGCACTTGCCCGACTACAACATAACAAGAAACATATATCTCTTTTAAATGTGGTTTACAATATTTCACATACATTAATAATAAAACACGTTCATAGTTTCCTTATGTACTTAATGTAACATAATGTGAGTTACTCTACGAGAGTTTTTTAGATTTTTTTTTTTTTTAAAGGAAATGCCTGACATGCCTATCAAAGTATACTCACAGTCGTTTTTCCTGTGCAATGTCAAAGGAGGCTGCCATGTTGATGAGGGTGGGGAGGCAGTGCAGGTGGTGACTGTGGGAATGGGGAAGGATGGTGTTTGCCTAAAAACAGAGGGGCAGGAAAAAAGAGAGTATGCATTAGGTTTCACGATCACAACATTTGTAGGCCACTTTCTAAAATAAAAAATCTGACTAAAGCAATGTTTATTTAGCACTGACACAGCATTTCAGGGAGTCAAACTATATTTTCAGAGATTGTATTATTTCATTTTAATATTACCATGTGTAGAAGTTCTCCCAAGAGGATGGTGGCTCTCACAGCAAGCTGGTCATCGCTGCTGGTCACAACTTCCACAAGTCCCTACAGTTACAGAAGAGAGCATCATTGTATCAAAAATAGCATAAATCAAAAAATGCTAAATAATGAAAAACACAGAGTCAGCTCACCTCTAACAGCCCACTGGAGATGAAGGCAGAAAGAACAAATGCCAGGTAGTTGTCCATCAGATCAGGTCTAATGATGAAAAACAGAAAACGATTATTCATGCTCATGTCATGCATACAGTGAACGGACAGCCTTTTGGGTCAAATTTGGTTCAACATATTCCATCTCTGTTCTCTCATATCATCTCTCACCTAGAGCGGGCCCGATGGGGTAGTATGACTTTGGCCTCAGCAGCTAGAAACCCATCGGACAGTCTCCAGGTGTCCTGAAACCGGGCGGGGTCTGAGGAAGAGCAGAACAGAGATTAGTTTACGCTCATTGTGTGACTCAAATATTGTCTTGGGTTGAAAGAGCACCAAACCATTTAAGTAGAAGACTTTGGAAAGAGTTGAGATGGATGCTTTACATGAAAGACAATTACTTCATAAAAAAGTAGTGAGTAACCTAACCAAAGTATACCTTTATTTATATTAACCTTTCTGTTACTTTCACTTTCAGAGGCCATTGACTGAGACCTGTGTTGTGATGCGTTGTAATGTACCTGCTAATTGTCATCATGACATTTTTCCCAATCTTATTAAAGTGTCAGTAATCTAATGTATTGTTACTGTAATTCTAATCTAATAGTCACTGTTTTGTAACCTAGCTACATAAAGCCATTTCAGGTATTTCTTTCCTCCCCAAGACTGACTTCGGAGTTTGCTTTATGTCCATACCACAGAGCTAAAATGGCGATGACATGATCATTTCTGCATGTAGAACATCTCCCTAATCGCAAGGTACCAAGAAACTGGGAGAAGGTATAAATATGTGCTCTGAAGATATAAAGATGTTTCTCTCACCAACACTAAGAAGAGCTTCCATGAAGTCTTGAGTTATAATGGGCACAGGGAGCCTGAATATCTCATATAACACCTCCAACAAGCCTTTCTGCAGGGGAAATCACATTACAGCAGTCAGACACACATTTGATACAGCACAAACTACATTTGTATTTTTTTTTCAAAAAAAAAAATACTATTATCTTAGTGTTGTGGATTGACAGTACAATACTCCAGTTACTCTCCCTATTTACTCTCTGGTAACAGGGCGGTGCTATCTGATTTGATCCGTCAGTGCCAGAGCGGCTTTTGGGTACATCTCACTCTCTGCTCTGATACTCATGTACACAACTATTTATGAACCAGTTACAATACAGTCTTTATTATCTTCTGTCATTGTTATTACTACAGGGGGTAGGATAGAATTGCAGACCCACTCATTTGCAGATCAGCGCACTAAACTATCTAGTGCCTTTTCCTCCTACAATAGCCCTTTGTGCTGTCAAATGACGACTGGTGTGACTCAAATATTAACAGTAAAGTTTGCTATCAATTATATATTCACTGCTAATTTCAATAACGAGGTTGATCATTTGTTTTACAACCACAAACTTCCTTTTTCTGAATGCAACTATTTCAATACTCACCCTAACTTCCATATTTGGTATGCAAAGTAAGCCAATTAAAGATTGGATCCCAGAATTCCCAGCCTTGCATAGGTTGATAATTCCTGAATAAAGAAAGAGACAGTTAATCAAAAGTAATATAAATCAAATGAGTCTATTTATCTGTACACTTAAATAACTTTATTTATAACCACATCCAAGTCCTTACCAGACCAGGAGCGAAAGGCTGCCACGATAGCCATTCTACTCGACAAGAAACGGGCCTCTCTGTCCTCCCTGAGAACATGAAAGAAACCCAAATGAAAACCAGGACACCATGTTCCATACAAACAGCATCATAATGATCTGTGTACTGCGCCTCACACAGAGCACACAAAGCATATCAGAGAGGAGAAACTACAACACAAAAGCAGAACAAAATGCTAAACAGAAGTCACGGAGAATCACAAAGACATTTATTTTTATATAAAAACACATTATTCAGAGTGACTTAAAGCATTAGTGTGAATGCTTCAAAGCCTCTATCAAGTCATGCTGGAGTCGAGCAGCCCTGATAACATGAGCCATATCGCAAAAACAAAATACAAACTCTCAAATGCATGGTGTTAAATGTTAAATGGTAAACAGAGGGAAATGTCAGAACACTATTTATTTTGTTCCTACTGCAACAATGACACCCTTCATACCCCCCTCCACACACCCACACACTCACTTGAGTTGCCCTTCAGCCGTGTCTGCGTTGTGACGGTAGTGAAAATCTGTAAAAGGTGCGAGGATTTGCTGGAGGACCAAACAAACACAAGAGGGATGAGAACAAAATACAACCCAATTCAGATCTCATTGAAAATGAAGTGGTCAATTAAACACACAGGAGCTCAATTAAAAGACAACACATTTAAAAACCTAGGTATAGCTACATTCAGACATTTTAATGTGGAAATGCTCCATAATCACACTGTAGATTTTACATTTATATATTCAGTTTAATATTTAATATTCCATCTGTCAAATACTTATGTATATATAATACCTTATATATATATCGTATATCTTGTTATTGTTAATTTGTAAATTCAACAATATTTTCTACTTTCTTGTTTATTTCTTGTCTTTTCATTTTTATTGTACAATGCCATGTCTTTTTATGCTGCTGCGACACAAATGCCCCCAAATTGGATCAATAAAAGTATCTTAATAATAATAATAATAACATTTTATTTCTATAGCGCTTTTCTTGAAACCAAAGACCCTTTACATTTGGGAGGGAAGGTAGACAAACAAAACCAAAAAAAAACAAAACAGAAAAGCAGTCAGGAGGAAGTTGGTTGAGAGGGGGGGGGGGGTGGGGGCTTATGGATACAGAGTTGAAGAGTTGGGTTTTGAGGCGGGACAGGAACAGGGTGAGGGACTCAGACTCACCGAGGTCTTATCTTATCTTATTATACCTTTAAATATTCCCACGAAACATCTTTCAGTAATAATAAACCTGCTTCAGATCTCATATGACATCATGTGGATGTTATGACCGTGTGCTGAGATGTTTTTGTCCCAGGTGTCTGTTTACGGACAATGAGGCTTTAGAGATCTGCTGTAACTGATGACTGTAAGCTCCATGGGAAAGAGACGGGCAACCTGCGGCTGCTAATCCTGACTGAATGACTCCCACCACACCGGCTCACTTATAAAAGGCAGCCTCTCCTGAATTCATATCTGTGTCAGTGTGCGTGTATGAGTGAGTGAGTGTGTGTGTGTGTACCTCCAGTTCGACATCGACGCGCACATACTGCCGGGTGCGTGGGTGGTTGAGTAGATGGAGGATGGTGGTGATGAGTGCTTCGTTGATGCGGCTCAGCTGACAGTCGATCACACTCTTCAGGATGGTGCTGAGACCGCCACGTTTAGCCACCACCTCCGGGTTCTTCAGAGCTAAGTGTTCAGCAGCAAAGAAATATTAGAGCCGTTTCACATTGCTGTAGCGAATGTTTTTACCTTTGAAGCTTCTATTGAGCTTTTTGAATGAAGCTTCAAATTAAAGACATTATTTTCAAATCCTCAATTTGAAATGAATGATTGATCTAATGTAAGACTAAATGACTTCTATTTTATCTAATACTCTTTCTCTAATAAATCTAGTTTTGAAAGGTTTACCACAACACCAACAAATATTGAATTATATAAACACGGTGTGAATTTTGGAAAGGATTACATATTTCTTTTGCAAATAAAAAGTTACTTTTGGACTCTTGAGTTATTGGAAATGTCAACATGACATTGGTTGAAAATCCAATCCTTCCCGCCCCCACAGGAATATAATGCTTCCTATAGTATAATGCTAATTATATTACTGTGGACTAATCTGCAACTGTGAAGAAATACCAGGTTGAATGAAAAGACATTTCAAACAATAAAGACGCACAGCATTGGGATCTTGACATAGCATTTAAATGTCAATTTACTAGTTTTCTTCACTATTCACGCAATCCCTCAAGAGCTCCTCACAAAGCCGCTGGTTTTGCTAAATGAATGATTCTGAACATCTGCATTGTGAATCTCCATCTCTAAAGGCCAGGTACTCACCTAGCTCACATACGATGGCGATGGCGGCGCGGACCATGCGGTCTCGCTCCTGAAGTCCATCAGTGCCCACGGCAATTAAAGAGTTTGCAACAGAGGAGGGGAACAGCATTGCATTGACAGTGATAATCTGGAGTGGGATAGAGAGAAGGAAAACGTCGGTCAAACATTCCCAGACAAACACAGGCAGAAAAATAACTAACATTTCTTTCCAGGTCTCTCAAAAGAAAATACATATTTGAAAATGAAAAAGGATTACCTAATTGTAATGTAATTACGACCAAAGAGCGTATAATTGGTGTTTTTGGTCTTAATTGGCTAGGATTTCTTTAGACGATTATTCATTTTTTGATGGATTTCTTCAAGCTGAATGACTTGAGCCCATCTCTGATAAACATAAGGTATAAAGTGGTGCTTTTTCATAATTGTATTTGGAGGAACGCTGTTTTAAAATTGGTAAGGCGAAAGAAAGATATGAGTATTGATGAATTAAATAAAATACTAAGAATGTTCTTTCTTTAGTTGAAAACAGCCCTAAATCTGAGGGTCACATTTCTCTGAATTTACATTCCAAGAAGTGATAACAGAAATTATTAGGAGGCTCTATTTCAGGGGTGCCCAACCTTTTTTGAACCGAGAGCTACTTTTAAAGTTGCCAGTCTGCCGAGATCTACCAGTCGAAATAGAGAGGCGTAGCCATTACTGACAGCCTACTACCAGGTAAATACACACTTCTACTTGAATAAAACTGACCTTCATACGATGACTACTTCATAAAATACTGCAGATCCTTTATTTTACCTCTTTCTAATCTACACACATACAAGTATTTAACTGAAGTTACACAACCGTGTTGTTGATACAGAGTTGGAGTTTATTCACACGTCACATACTACAGTGGGTAATGTTTTCAAGAAACATTGAACAGTGCTGCCACATATGACACAAGAAAAAAGAAAAGACTCTGAACCCTTACTTTGCCATTATCTAAAAATAGTGTTGCTACAAAAGTATAAATTAGGCTTACTAATAAGAAAACTCAGATCTGAAGCTACACAGGAATCTGCTGCCAAAGTGCAATAAAAAAGACAAAATTAATAGAATCAAACCCTTTTTATTTTTTGCATTTTAGTAATGCATAAAAAGAAATGCCTTTTAAAATAGGATGCAAGCAACACTAGTTTCTTAACCTGAATTGATAATAGACTATAATCAATTTAAACAGAACTTTGCATTCTTATACCATTTTGTACAATAATTATAATGAATAAGTTCAAACAAACTCAAACTTACAGCTGATTAATCACGGTATCTAACTTGAGTTTTTATTATATCAAAAACCTGTTGAAATTAGGGCTGGCGATATATCGAGTTTACACGATACATCGTGGATTGCACTCCATGCGATGTCGTAAATGCCACATCGTGAACATC